CTCAGTGGGCTGTCCACGCCGATGGAGGTCTGTACCAGCGGACTCAGCCAGCCACAGGTGAAAAGTAAAGGCATGGCACCAGCTCTGAAGCTGTGCAGCCCTATTCTATTCCCTATGCAACACTGAGACTGCACAAGAAGATCACATACAAACACTGTGTCTCAGTTCATGTAAGGCCGTCAGGAGTCATCAGCCTCGGCATTATGGTGTGTTTTCCTGGTACCAACCTTCTAAGCACACACTAGGTTGCGTGCTCTTACCTTTGTCTAGTTAACTTCATGTAGCATATTCTCCAGGTCATCCACTGTCTTTTCTCTTGTGATGAAATTCTGGCAAAAACAACATAAAGGAGAAAACCTTTCATTCTGGCTCACAGTTCCAGGGTCCAGTCCATCGCAGTGTGGAGCTCACTGGACGTCCGTAGTCAAGAAGGTAGCAGAGAATGACTGCTTATGCTCCTTTCATTCAGCACAGGCAATGATGCCACCCACATGTCTTAGCAACTCAACTAACCCAACCTCGATAATCACCTCAGGCCCCAGACACACTCTCCAGGTGGTTCTAGATCTCAAGTTGACACTTGGATTCACGATCACACCTACGTTATCAAAAATAATCATTTTCTAAAGGTTGGAATTTTATAATTTGTTTATGTGTGTAAACTTTTGTGGTGCTGGGGACCAAACAGTCCTGCACACACCAGGCACACACTCTCTAATGACCTAGCCCTAGTCCTCATGCTTTAGGTATCCATCCAGTGGTGACATTGGCTATTACAGACAGTGCTATAGCAAACATGCATGTACAAGGAGCTCTTTGACAGTATGTTTCTATTTCTTCAGCTATATGCCCATGTTCTGAGGAACCTGCCTAGTTTTCTACAGTGGCTTTATCAATTGATATTCCAAAGATGTTAGAGTCTCATTTTCTCCACATCCTTACCAACGCCTGTTTACCTTTTTAACTGTGACAGGTTTGTGGGGTGGCATTGCATGCCGTAGTGGTTGAACTTCCTTGGTTTTATGTATGTATAATCTGCACACCCACCCGCCGGCAATCTGGTATCTTGTGCGATAATCTGGTTTGGCTTGGCCCAACTACTTTGGCTGCGGCTCCACTTCTCTAGCTCTCTGAACTGTGCACAATACACTCTGTTTACCACAGCTGGTATGACAGCTGGTGTGACCTCTGTATATACAACAGGGACCCTGTAGATGAAGACCCCACCTTACACATCCCAGGGACAGGAAGACCACAAACAGCAGAGCTGCACAAGGCCTGAAGGAGAACCTCGGAAGAGAAACCGCTTCCTTCTCCAGGGCCGCTCAGCGGGCATGAGGCAAAGTGTGGATGAAGGCGAGGAAAGCTGGGGTGTGTGGGAACATGTAGGATCTAACAGCTCAAAGACAAATCCTACACAGCTGGACTGCCAGCACAGTGGGCAGAGGGAGTCGAGGAAGGCATTTTGGAACCGCCAACCCTTTCTACCTACGAGCGTGTTAGTAACGTCTCTTCAGGTCTTTTTGATGGCAACCATTTAACTTATTTAGGAATTGGGCTCATGCTAGCATACAGGGGCTGCCAAAACAAGCTTCTTCAGACAGGGTGGCTCTCAACATATGTTCATTCTGCTTTGAGGTGATGTCTCACATAAAGGTCATCAGCATGACCAACTCTTTGAGAGTTGTGGGGAAAGTCTTTCCATGCCTTGGTAGTTTCTGGTAGCACAGAGATGCTAGAGTTCCTTGGTTTGTTGATTCAGCGTACCTACTCTTCATTCCCACTTCCTTAAAGGGACTGCTTGCTAGATTTAGGGCTGATCTTGATTCAGTATGCCTTCATTTCAACTATAGCCACAAGGATGTCATTTCTAAAAAAGGTCCAATTTGTAGGTTTGGGCTTGGCATAAATGCAGAGCAAACTGTTCAGTTCCCTGTTGATGTTTAGTGGGTTTGATTTGGTTTTGAACCTCACCAGTGACAACGACCATACAAGAGAAGGCTCACAAAACTGTGGCCAGTCTTCTAGGCTTTACCATTCCACTCACAGATCAGGTTTTGAACCTGCCTGAACCAAAGCGTCCTCATCCATTTCAACAGGTATACTGTATGGGACACACAATAAGCACTTTCATATTTTTATTCTTGGATTATGCTATAGTTTTCAATGGTACCTTTTCTTCATCCTATTCAGTCATTGATTATTGCTGATAAATTATGAACTTATCAAGTTCTGTTAAGAATCTTTCAACTGCCACCTCAAGGTGTATTATCTTTCTGGTTGTTCTTAGATTCTCTTGGTGGCAACCACATGAGTTTCAAGGTTCTCAAATCATGGTGATAGATGGCAGTTGACAAAAGACTGTAGAACAAGGGTTATCTGAAGGAAGAAACAATGTTCAGGGAGTGGCTTACCTGCATGTTACCAAGACAAGTTCAGATACTCTTTTCATACCCACAGCAAGGCAGTGGATCCCTTTCATTACTGTCACATTTGAACTGCTGATTAGCACCCCAATACTACAGTTCTGAAGATAAGGTCCAGCCTCTGCATGGAAGGCTCAGTAACATTCCGCAGCAACACGACAGACACAAAAGGGGCAAATTCTTCCCACAAGTTGTGTCAGCAAATAATTTCATGAAATGGCTAGTTGCTTGATGCCGATGTTCATGCATGAGGAGACCAGAGCATCTCCCACTTTCGGCCTTCGCAGGAACCACTGTGCTTCCGGTCAGCCAGTCTCTGAGCACAGAAATCACACTTGGCAACAGGGTCTGGCTGAAACAGCAAAACACTTTCGGCAGTGAACCACTCCATAGTAACCTCTTCCCCACATCTCTTCCACGATACCTCAACTCAAACATTGTTACTTCCGTCCCATTTTCCCCTCCTACCACCACAAAAACAACATCCAATTTCAAGACAACACACGTCAAAGCACACAGTGGTAGGGTTGTTACCGAGTCCTCTGGCAAGCACCGTGTCTGTGCACGCTGCATGAGCCCGATACCAGCCGTCTACCACCGTACACGGCCAATACACAGCTGCCGGATGCAGCGTGAGGATCATCCCAACGTCTGTGTTAACTTCAACTTCGTAAAGAGATCCACATTTTCTGGGTAATACTCCAGAATAGAAGTGGTTCAGTTTCTGTCACCTGTAGGAGACTACCAAGCAGGCTCAAAACGGCAGGTGACTGGATAGGACCGGCACGTGTATGACACATTGCTGTTTCCCTACTGCTCCACCTTCAATCTGAATTTTGTTCTCGTTTTCTTTTTTTCTTCCTTTCTCAAACATTAATTGGATGAGAACTTCTCCAGAGGCTCCTGGAAATCTCAAAGTGGAAAGAATTTTAGGATTATTCAGAATAAAGACAAACCCAGAATTCTTGTCACTTGCCAGGAGAAGGACATCTATGTGTGTGTGCGTATCCGTCACTCATGTCACTTATCCACTGACAGGTCACGGAGGCCTCCCCTATGGTATTCCACACTGCAGCTGGAACTTCACTGTTTTACTCCCAAATGTTGGTCTTTTCCCGAGTGCACCCCCAACTTTCGGGTACTTCCTACATGCAAGAACTTTGACATAGATTCCAGGAGCTGGTGCTCAGGTGGAGATGTGGAAAGCTTAAGGTAGCTGCCTATCAGTCTCTGGACAAGTGGAATATGCCACGAGGAGGCAAAATTCTTTTCTGCAAGGTTAGCATTCCAGGATGAGTTCAGGCTCACAAGCCTAGGAAGCAGCATTCTTTCTAGAACACCCTTACTTGAGGATGAGGTCAGATCCCCATCTCATCTTTCTGGTATTTTCCAACACAGACAAGAACAGAATGGCTGGATCCAGTGGAATTTTACTTGACTGCAACAGAGCTGGGAAAGGATAGAAGACAGCTGGCTTTGCAACAAACATGGCCTTCATGTGAGAACTGCATCTGCCAATGACCACCCTCTCTTGGAGTGGGCCTTGCAAAAGCTGACTAACCTTGAGGCTTATGCTTTTTAAAATGGGTTCACATTTCCTAGCATCTGACAAGAAACACTTAGTACACATGTTCATGGACTAGCAAGTGTGTCAGACAGCCACCTTCACTAAGAGGTCAGAGGGGAAGGTAGTTTGTCCCAGTGTTCTCGACTGGGTTCCATTAAACTAGATAACACCAACATCGACACAATGTCACAAGCTCAAACCATGGTTGACACTTTTTGTCAAAACTGCATTTATTTTGAGATGACATTCTTTGATTGCACATTTGAATCTACTTATATAAACAAATGTTCTCAAAAGGAATAAAGTCCCCTGTCCCCAAACAATTCACAAAAGTTTACAAGGTGGTTTGCTGGAACCTATAAAACTCAAATGCCATCCAGTCAGGCATGTTAGAGGGCATTTCTTACTATAAACAGGTTCTTAGAGAACTCTACATAGTTTTTGGAACAAATCTTGTCTTGGGCAGAGCTCACCCTGAAGCAGTGCACACACAAGGCAATTCCCAGTGACCCTTACACCAGCAGTGAAAGTATTATTTTTGTATTGCTTACTTGAAGTTTCTAAGCAGCAGCTGTGGCGTCCACATGTACAAACTCAGTGCAAAGCTCTAACCACCAGCATGGAGGAGAATGGCTTGGTCAAGCCTTGAGCACACACCTTTTACTGACTCCCTCATCTCTGGTGGAGCCGTCAGGCAAGCTTGCTTCTGAAGGGGCATTCTGGTGCTGCTCTGTGCTCTGCATCTGGTAAGAGCGAGCTGTTATTTCTCTGAGGGGCCTGGAACTTTTCTTTTGTTCATGGAGCTGAGGGTTCAAGGCCGAAGCTAAGCACTCCCTCTGTCCCCCTGCCTCAGCTCTGCGGCAGGCTATGCTTCCTGTCTCCTCCTCTCTGTCAGGCTGGCGTTTCAGAAGACCATCCATGCTTACAACAACTACCAAGCCTCACTCTTAGACACTTATTCCAGCAAAGGCCAGGAGATCGCAGTTTATAAGAAACTATTTAAGGACAATGTTTATTCTCCCCAAGACCTACTGGTAACTTATGTCCTCACCTGAAGTCCCAGGTGGGTCTCATCAATCACTGAAGACACACACACTTCCTCCCACTGCTCTTAGAATTAGTTTACCTACCACCCATAAAATCTGTTCAATTTTATTTTTTGAGGCAGCATCTTACTATATAGCCCAGGCCAGCCTCCAAATCATGATCCTCCAGCCTCAGCCATGTCCACTAGGATTACAGGCCAGTGCTACCACTCTGAAAAAAGAAAAAAAAAAAAAAAAACAAAACTGTCCAATTTTATATCAACATAACTAAAAAAATAGAGCAGGAAGGCAGACATTATTTGTTCTATGTACATATGTTTATTTAACTTATTAAATATCTACAGTGAACCAAGAATATATATTAAAAACTCAAAGCTTAAAATATGGCCCCAGGTTGCAAGTCCCCAAAGCAGCAGGAATATTCGAAATCACGACTCACCAGATTCCACCTTGAAGCTCACTCAGCTAAGCAGCAAAATCCCCTGTACCGAGCGAAACACCAAGCTGGAAACGGTCCAGGCAAAGAGCACAGAGAAGGAACACAGAAGAGCTAGCCCAACAGCTGGAGGCATGAGGCCTCAGCTGGTCTCACCTGAGCATTAAGGCATGAGAGCACCTCTACGGCCTTCAGGGTCTTGTCATTTTTTACTTCACTAACTCAACTCCTTTCCTCTCCCAGGTAAAAAAAGCAAAACAAAATTTACCAGGATGTGTGTTTACTCTCCAACAACTTGTATTTGCTGTTTAAATCAAGTCTAAAGTCAGGAAACTGTGGCTTTCTCCATCCTTTCCCAGCGACAATGAGCTCGTCACTAAAGGCTGCCCTGACACAGCATTCCTGAGCAGCTTCCAGTATTGGCTGCTGGACACCAAACTACTTTGCAAAGTTACAGTCACTACGATTTAGCAACACATACTATTAGACTTGTTTTGTGTTTTTCTTCTTTTTCTTTTGGCAAACCTAGAACAACCCAGAAAACAAAAAGTAAGTCTTCATTATTGTACAGGAAAATGAAATGAGCCTCTACCTACATGCCTAGTAATCCAGACTAAAAGGTACAACTGAAATCCTTAGTGCAAGAGAAACAATCAATTAATACAGATTAACACTCACTGATAAGTAGGGAAAAGTTTCTTATTCAGAGGTAGAGTCCAGTGCACAAAGCTTCAACACAACAGTCAACAGTCTGAGGAAAGTGAGCCAGGCTGTAAGGGGTCACTGCGGATGCCAGATGCCAGACTGTGCATACATACAACAAATAGACTGTACAATCTTTCAAAGTAGTTTAATAAACTCCACAAAATAGTATCAGGTGCATTGAAATATTTACATTAAGTCAATTTCCAAATCTCCCGTTCAAATAAAAGGAATAAAAATAAGATTTCTGCTATTAAGTCAGCAGTTCTTTCCTGAAATGGGCTGGCAAAATAAGGTATTTTACAGGAGAGGAAGGAATTCATCTAAGAGGTATTCATATTTGGCTAAGAAAATAGGTCCCTTTTAGAGTTATAGAGATGAGAGAATACAAAATGATACTTTCTACATTTTAGACCTCTTTTTACAGTTCTTGAAGAGCGAAGCTGATCCTGGTTCCCACTCAGAGAAAATCATCAAAGGTGCAGTGGGAGGGGAGTTAACTTTTCACTTCCTGCATTTGGAAGATTAGACCAAAACTTGCTCATACTTTTGACTGAAAACATGACTGCACAAGACAGACGTCACTGAACCTTGACTAACACTTCTGGTTCCATGCTCTTGGGATTTTGACATTTCGTTCCTTCTATTTCCAAAGTGTGCTCCAAGGTGAGGGGTCTGTTGGGGTCAGGCATATGATTTTAGGGTATTCAAAACTAACATACAATTCTAAACTTTTTCAAGCTCACCATTTCGTGTAACAAACCGAATGCTAGCGTTTATCTCAAGTGTTGCAAACAGTGAAAAACTCACAAACCTTGGTCACTGCAACCTAAGAAGACGGGCAGAAGAGATGCACTGTGACTGAGTGTCCAGTTCTTAGACTCCACGTCAGATTTTCTCTTTGATAGGACACCGTTAACCCATTTATTTCTCAATCTCAATACAAGATTCTAATCTAGCCCCAAGGCAAATCAGAAACAGTCAGAAAACACAAATGTTGGTTATAATCAAGGAAGCATGAACCTTCACAGTTTGTATAGCTTCTCCGAGCACCCACAATGAAAATGCAAGTTGAGCTTTTTTTATTTATTTAATCACTCTGTGAAAAATACCTCAGGAAATAGTAATATTTTTCCCCTTTAGTGATCTCCCCACTGGAACACCCACCCACCCACTCCCCGTTTTCTAAATTTTAGATTTTTAAAAAAATTGTATACAAATAGACTAAATTTGATTTAAAGTAAACATACAAAAGTCGAGAAGAATATTGCTTGCAACAATGGACATGGAAGTAGAAGAATGACCAGGCAGGGAGCACATAGACACGGCTCCTCACAATGAGGTCAGAAAAACCTGGCTTCCCAGATGCTTCTCTATCCAAGATGCCTGTGCTGAGGACCTTCGCCTTCAGCCACAAAGTCTGAGTTTTGTAATTATACTTTCACATTAGCAGAAAAAGAGAACCTGGGAAGGAGAGGAGGTGACAAAAGCAGAAACCAAGAACAAGCAATTGCAAGAACACTGGAAGGCACAAGCACCTGTGTAGTCTAGACAGTGTTCTTGGGGGGCGGAGAGGGATGCTTTCGGTTCAGCACTGCAGTCACGTTAATCCTGCTGCTGTTGGAAGAGAATCCTATAAAACAGGTGTGTAGAAGCACAACCAGCACATCTAACTTGTGAGGAAGAAAGCTCAGAAGACAGCTAGAGAAAATGGTGCAGAGATAAACAATCAGTACTATTTATTTGGATGTCTGTGCCATGGTGGGTACAAACTATGTTCTCTGCTCTGTGGGATCAAAACCGAACCACAATAAAAAGGAGCAACACTCCCTCCCCAATCCCAAGAGAGCAGCAAGAAGGAATGCAGGAACCTTACAGAGCATGACCCAAGGGCACACGTGGCGCTCCTGATGTGGATGTGCGTTCAGCTCTGCTACCGACGTGTGGCTCTGCCTGGTCCCGACAGCCAGCCAAAGACCCAGGAACAGCCACACTACCAAGTACTCTCTGCCTCAACACAACTCCCTTTCCTTCATCTCCTCCTCCAGGATTAGAGTCTGTTTCCTCCATGAAAGAAATGCTGTTCATGACGGCCGGGAAGGCTTGACACCGGATTTCCAGAACACTGATCTCACGTCCCTTAAAGCCTCTGTGTACACCCACATGGTGCAGAGGTGGGCGTGAAGGCAGCCTTGATGGGGCTATGCGTTAAAAACAGAAGGAAAGGAGAAAAACAAACAAAACCCCACCCAAATTCATCTCTTCTCAAACAAGAGGAGACACTGTGGGATGGCCTCAGGAGGGTACCCCAGTTAGGAGATAATGGCTGGGGACCACCGTGGCAGAATCAGGTTGTCAGCACTTGCTGAACGCTTCCTCGTGGGTTTTCTCAGGTCCTTGTACTTGTCTTCACAGAGACGAGAAATGGCCTGAGAGAGAGAAAGACAGTGAGGGTCAGGGCACATACCAGGTCCCCTGGGGACTCCCTTACCCAGAGGCTCTGCACGGCTGCCCCTCTGCTGGCCCAACAGGCTTTGCCGCCCAGCACAACTCCAACCCTACTGCAGCAGAGGAGGTGTCCAGGACTTGGCTTAGGAGCCAGGGTAAACTGACATGCTGGGTGGGAGCGAGACCAGACCAAGGGGTTTTATGACGGAGAGGCCACACAGGGCTAGGATGGAAAGACTCTAGTCTGGAGCCAGCACAAACCTGCCAGCGATTTTAATAGGGCATGTTAAAATTCAAAATTGCATTTTAGGAAAAGAACTCCAGTGGCAGCAGAGAAGATGGACTGGGGGAGAGAAACAAGGCAGCAACCACGTTGAAGCCAAGTGGCCAACTGGGAGAGCAGAAAGACTCCAGGCTAAGCAGTCTCACACCAAGCATGGTGCACACAGTATATGCGGACAATAAAAACACAAGTCAGGGGCATCCAAGTTCTTGGATCAAGTTCTTTTATTTAGATTTCCTAAGATTGGCAATTGTTACTTCTTATGAATAGTGTGTGTGTGTGTGTGTGTGTGTGTGTGTGTGTGTGTGTGTGTGTGTGTGTG